TAGCTATGCGCAAAATTAAATGGGTATAGAACTGTCTCAAGGATATCTTTTCGGTTGCTCTGTATAGATTTGGTCTATATAAAAATTTTATCTCCTTTGAGAATAAGTCCGAAGAAAGCGCGGTCGATTTTTGTTGATATCTCATCGAGTTCCAATAAGTAGTTTTCATTTTATTTGTGGAAGTCAGAACGTTTTATTTCAATGAAATCGAAATATGTATCTAAATAAATTAAACTTGACGCATTTTTAACACATAACATATGAATCGAAGTGTTTTGGTACGAGTTTTCGAATTTCTATCAAAAAAGGAAATTTGAAAATTGTACCAAATACTTCTATTCACATGTTATGTGTTAAAAATGCGTCAAGTCTGATTTATTTAGATACATACTTCGATTTCATAGAAAAAAAACGTTCTGGCTTTAGCAAATAAAATGAAAACTACTCATTGGAACTAATCAAAAGTTGAGAGGAAAAAAAAAGTATCCGCAGAAAAATCGAATAGAGTAATGAAAGAACAGTGAATAATTGTAAAAATGATATTGATTAACATAAGAATTGATGCTCTATCTCACTTGCAATCGTATTATTTACAGAAATGTTCAGCAGCCAAATTGATACTAATTGCAATCCATCATATCATTGTTAATTGATTTGATAAGAGAAACTCTAATTTCAATAAGAATAATGTGATAGATTGAAATTAGTATCAATTTGGCTACCGAACATTTCTATAAATAATTCGGTAACAATTGAGATAGAACATTAGTTCTCACGTTAACCAACATTCTTCACATATTATTCACTAGTCTATCATTTCTCAATTCGATTTTTTTGTGTATATATTCTTTTTTGTTGTCTCTACTCTTCGTTTTTTATTCTTCTCTTTTTTGTTATTATTTTCGTTCCTTCGTTATTTTCTTTTCTTGTCACTTCGTCTTATCTTATGGTTTCATCAATTCAAAGTTCTACATCCGCATTGAGAGCGGGATATACTGAGGAAGAAAATAACTATATTCGTTCCATCTTAGCAAAGACTCCATATCCAACTTCAGATCAGTACAACAAGATGTCGAAGGAAATGGGCAAGCCGATTAAAGTGTTAAGAGTAAGCAAAGTTTGTATTCGTGACGGTTTTCCGATATTCTTCTTTGTTTTCAGCTTAAAGTTACCTACATGCGGCAAAAGGAAAAGTGCGCGAAACAATCTGCCCGGCATTCACGCTTCTCGCTAACCATCAACAGCAACATCTCTTCTCAGACGAAGTCTTTGGCGAACATTTTCCTCAATTTTATTAGTATCGAGGAGGCTGGCGCTTTCAAGACTCAAATACTTTCATCTCCACCACATTTACGATTAATCAATGATAGACATCTAGCTGATATTCTAAGGGAAGGTCGATTATCTACATTGGCAGGTATTGGACCTTATCACAGTGAGTAATGATTAGATACTAGTTATCTTTATGTCTTTATATTCTGTAAAATAGGTACATCTATCTGCGAGTGGATGACTTGTGTTATTACACCTGACAATTTGATGACTCCTGCAGGCTCCCGGGTCGACTTGACAATGTATCGCAATGGCACTAGATGGACTTCGATTCAAAACAAAGTCAACGAATTTTGCAAGTCACGCAATTTTGATCACATAAATATAGCACCTGAGCAGGTGGTTCTAAGATCAAAATTGTTATCACTTCCTGTACTTTCTAGCACGTCAGGTTCACTACAGAGTAAGTGTGAAAAAATCTAACATTTCACACAGACATTGTCTCTATTTTTTGTAGCTTCGCATTTATGCGACACCAAAGGATGTCTGGCCGACGATCATCTTATTGTGGAATCATCGAGTGCAAATATGAGCCGCCGTCTTTATCAAGGCATAATGCTACTTTTGCGACCCGGAACGCCAATGTGCATACTCCACGTAAAGCCATGTCATCATGGAGTAGAACATCCAGATGCAAAAGGTGATCATCTTCGATACAGTTGTAGAAAAATTAGAGTTGTAGTACAAAGTACCGAAGCAGTCGCTTATTTTTCTAGTAAACCATAAGTTATGAGAGCCATTTTTCTGTTGTAAATAATACTATTCTAAAATAAAATAAAATAAAATAATTTATTCTCTTCTTTTTCTTTCACTTGGTTGCGGCTGAATTTAGAAGACGACGTTGGGTGATTCAGGTGTGGGTAGGTGTGTGGATATTAGTGTCTCTTAGCGAACACCGACACCGACATCCACACCCACACCTTCAAAGGGCGTAGCGTGACGAAACGTTACCCTATTCCCACTCAGCCATCTAGAAAAGTCACTATTCATACTTTTGATAAAACTGATTACGTGATCAGTCGACTTGACCCCCTCCCCCTACCTGATCACATGATTTCCGAACAGTCCCTAATCTGTTTTATTGAAAATGAAGAAATTCATTTAAATTAATTATTCACTCGAATTGTCAAGAAGCTCTCAGTGCCGACTCAATTCCTATTTGAAAATGGATAAATATTTCGTGTATTTTTTTATTTTCTATGCTATCTCAAATCGATCTTCATATTGAATCAGTTGAAATATTTTTTTCACTGATTTGTAAAATCTTCTATTGTTGTTTTGATTTAGATATTTTGGAGAAAGGTACTAGTGAAGCGTTAACAAATCATAGTAAAGCTCTTGGAAAATTGCCTGATTTCGGTTCATTGGCGATGTCAAAATGTGTTTTAGCTGCATTAAAAGATTGTAATTGTGGAGCTGATCTTATTTCTCTTTCATCAATTTTAAGTGTTTTAAATACAACAACTTTATTAAAATCAATTCCACAGAATTATAAAAGTCCAGATGGGGATTTTATGACATTATTAAATGTCATGGAAGAAATTTTAGTTGTTAAACAATCAGTTCCAACTAAAGAATTTAGTTTAGATCGTATTTGTCAAGCAAAAGGTTTAAGTAATATAAAACATATTCTTCGACAAGCATTAAGACGTTATAATAGTTTAGAAAAATCATTTAATTTATCAGTTGATTATCGTGCTAAAGCACAAGTAAAATCAAATGATTAGGAATTAATTGCCAGATCATCATTATCTGATTATTATGATAATGTATTTGTATCAGCGAAAGAATTATTTGAACGAACTCATCTTTATATTCAATATAATGGTTCAACTGAAGACAATATTGCTGAATTAGATTCACAATCTGTTTTAGCTAGATCAACAAATAAAATTCCTCCAGCTTTAGTTTTAGCACGAGATATTCGTTATTCAACATCAATTCGTTCTAAAGCAATTCTTTCATTAGTCGAAACAATTAAACCTGAATGGGTTGAGCATCCAATAAAACGTCAATTAAAAATTAATAATGAAGAAGAAGTACGTCTCAATAGTAATAATATAATATTTAAGTTCAGCATGGAATATACTTAGATTCCGTCGTTATTGAGACATTTCATTTCTGAGTTAAGAGACAGTCCTTGGCTGAATCGAGCATTTGTAATATAGGCTGTCAGACAAAAAAAATTTTGACATAGGCTTTTTATTATTCAAAATGAAAGAGCAT